TTTACTTTCTTCTTCCTCTTTTCTTTTCTCTTTTTCTTTTTTTGTGGTACTGGGGATTGAATTCTTTCTCTTTTCTTGTTATTAACAATTGAGCTCAGGGCTTTCACATTTAACTATATACTCAGCCTGTTTTTAAATTTTTTAATTTTGAAATTTAAATCAGGGGTTCTGGGGCTGGGGAGATAGTTCAGTGGAATATGAGCTTGACTGGCAAGTGCAAGGTCCTGAGTTTGATCCTAGTCTTCTAGAGTGCTGGAATTACAGGTACATACCACACCTGGCTAATATCTCCTTTTTAATGAGTTAATAATATGCCATAATATATGTATGTACATATGTACAATAATGGAATAACGGACTATGTATATATGTATAAAAATGGAATATGTACATTTTTATGTATGTTCTATGTACAATAATAGAATCTGTATGTTCATATGTATGTACAATACATACATACATAAGAACATTATTTCCTCTTTCATTGCTTTGCACATTTTTTTTAAATTTAAATTTTTTTTTTATTTTTCCCGAATGGGGGATTGAACTCCGGCCCTTGCACTTGCTAAGGAAGCACTTATTCCACTGAGCCATCTCCCTGGCTTCCTCTTTCATTGCTGATGCATATTATTTTGTGATGGCAACCCAAATAGATGAAGACAAAATGAAACCCACAATTATGGCAAATATTTTAGATGTGGATCAAAAGGGATTATAAAAATGCCCTATAATTTACACTATTAAGGGCAACTGCCTTATTAGGAAAATGTCTTCAATCTGAAAAACAAATATTTCTCATTTAACAACTGTTTGAAGTTATAACTGAGGCTCGCTGTGCAGATATATGATCTGGTGCTTGCACTTAGTACCTGCAGGGATAGGAGCAGCGGTGCAGCCTAATGGTGGCTTCTTCTATGGTACAGTGCTGTAATGCTTGCTGATTGTACTCTACTGTGGTTTGATGTTTTGCTATATATTACAGCCCTGAATGTAACAGTTATGCACAGAAAAGCACTTGTCAAGGTGATGCTTCCTCTAACCATTTTTTATTTATTTATTTATTTTGGTGGTACTGGGGATTGAACTCAAGACCTTGCACTTGCCAGAGAAGCACTTATTCTACTGAGCTATCTTCCCAGATAACCATTTATTTGCTATGACTATTGTAATGTGTCTGCTACATACAGTGCAATTCTTCCCTTAGCACGAATCCATTTAATGACCTAGTGGCAGGAATGGAACTTGGGTGTTAAACAAAGAATGTCTATGTTCTAGAACTTGGATCAGGAATTCTTGATGAGCTTAGGGGTAGGAGGACTTGGACTTTGACTTGGATTTGAATGTAGTGTCAGTAGGGTTAAAAGTATGGGTCCCCTGACCAATCTACTGGTAGGAAACTGTTTGGTTGTGTTCTATCACATCTTGTGGGTACATGGTTGAGAGTCCAGTGTTTAGTATGGTTATACACAAGCAAATATTAATATCTTTATCAATGGTTGCATCACCTCTGAGACAGACTCAGAGAAAAAGGATTATGATTAAATCTATGTCACTGTTCCCTAGTAGTCTTAGGAGTAGAAAAAGGAATACAAGTTCCTGAAAAAAATTACTGATTTTGGCACCCCTATAATCCTAGCAACTGTGAGGAAAGCTGAGGCAGGAGGATCACTGTGAGCTCCAGGTCAGCCTGGGCTAAAAGTGAGTTCAGTCTAAACCTGAATTGCGTAGTGAAACCCTGTCTGAAAAAAAAAAAAAAAAAAAAAAATCACTGATTAATCTTTAGGCCAAGAGTACCTGGCTAATGAAAGAAGTTATATTACACATGGGACCACTGAAACCCCTAATGAGTCAAATTAGTTCTTCTGAAAGGGCCCCAGGGGCCTCTCAATTGCATCCTGGCACAGCCGGAAAACCTGAGACCAGGCCTTGTCTGCTGGGACATGTGATGGGTGGAGTGGCACAGGAAGCCTTCCTGCCTCCCAGTTGATGTGTCTGGATTGTCAGGGGCTGCTGAAAGCCTTGCAAACAGAGAGAGGTGTAGAGATTTTGTTTTGGTGGCACTAGGTCGGGTTTGTCAGTCCTTCGGAGGCTGCGGGACTATGGAATTTTTGAATGGGTAGGATGGGGTGGGAGCAGCTTTCTAGTTTCTTTGCCTCTGAGCACATTAAAACTTGAAACTAACCATTAGAAGAATAGTGAATTAAACCCCTGGCTTTAATTTCTAGACACCTACATCTGCTTAGGGCTTCTCTCTGAAGTAACTTTAAGAATGCTAGGTTTTATGTTGCTGGCCAGTGAATCCAGGCCCTTTTGCATTCTAGGTGAGCACTCCACCACTAAGGTACTTTCTCCTAATGCTGAGTTTTATCATCATCAGGCTTTTAGGAGATGAAGGTGGATCTCATGGCAAGGAGATGTTCTTCTACCCTCCTGACACAGCTTAGCTGGTATCAGTCTGTGTGAAGTACACATGCAGCTGAGGACCTACCTAGGAGCTTCCTTGAGACATCAAACTTAGAGGCATCAGTCAGTATGGAAATGAATGGCAGGGAGATGGCTCAGTAGAATAAGTGCTTGTCTGGCAAATGCAAGGCCCTGAGTTCAATCCCCAGTACCGAAAAATAAATAAATAAAAATGTAAATAAATAATGAATGGCAGTGAGGAGGGTGCTTTACAGGGTCTCCAACTTCCTAACTGCTGTGGCTATACGTTGACCTTTTGAGCTTTCTCCAAACCTCTATTTAATACAGCAGTTACTGCCCATATGTAGCCACTGAGCACTTGAAATACAGTTGCTCTGAAATGAGATGGGCTGTAAGTACAAAACAGATGTCAGATTTGGAATATTTCACATGTCAGAAAGAGTGTAAAATATCCCATTAATAATTTTTAATACTGAGCATATGAAGAAATAATATTTTACATGTTAAATAAAAACATTTTAAAATAATTTCAGCTGAGCATCGTGGCACATGCCTGTAAATCCCAGAATCTGGGGGCGCAGAGGCAGGAGTACTGATTCAAGTTTGAGGCCAACCTGGGCTACATAGTGAGACCTTCCTCCTACCGCCCCCCCCCCAAAAAAAAGTGATAGTTTCACCTTTTCCTTCCTACTCTTGCAAAATTTGGCTTCTGGGAAGTTTTAAGTAACGTGTGACTCTCATCATATTTCTTTGCATTGGACTGTACCAGCTCTTCAGTGGGAGAGTTAGGCCACTGAATGCGTAGTCAGAAGCTACAAAATCCAAAACCTCAAAATAGCCCTCATTTGTAAGAAGGTTTCCTCTATACTCAAGGCATTAAAAATTGAATATTTCTTGGTCGAGAGATGGAGATATCACGTTCAATTCAGGCCAGAACTTTCAGCACCAGCAACACATGAGAGACAAGATCCAGGGATCAAATAAATCAGAGTCATAAACATAGAGTTAACTTCTAGGAAACAGCAGTAATATTTATAGCCAGAGCTCACATGAGGGAAAGGGTTTGGAAGAACTGTTTTGTCTCTTGGGAGATATTAGCTTCCTTAGAGGTCTAATCCTCTGATGGGCCCATCAGAGTTAGTATTGGCTAAAGACAAGGAGCCTTGATAATGGTGCACTAGGGTGGTCCTAAGCAGGCCACAGTATTCCTCCCATAGCATCTCATTCTTCCTGTCTCAGTTACTTTTTACTCTTTGCTGGGACAAAATACCCAACACCCAAATTTAAGGAAGGAAAGGTTTATTTAGCTCACAGTTAGTGGAGGTTTCAGTCCATACTTGGCTGGCTCCAGGGCAGAAGGCAGCAGTTCATGGCTGTGGAGCACAGCAGAGAGCCAAGGAGGAGCAGCAGCTGTGGCGTCTGTCAAGCCTCTCTCCCTTCCTTCCTTCCTTCCATGCTGACTGAGAAGACTGGCACTCCACTGCGAAGGTCAGAGCTCCTCCACAATGGTGCGGCTGCGAAGATCAAGCTCCTCTGAGGAAGTGGCACGGCAAGGATCCAAACTCCTCCAAAGAAGTAGGTTGCCCAGAAGCTTTCCTCAACCCCTTTATATACCCTTTTTGCACTGAGTTACTCTAGGGCGGGGCTGCCATGACCCAGGGCTTGGCATCACCAAGCCTATCCAGCCAATCTTTGGACATCTCAAATTGACACAATGTCAACCATCACACTTCCCAAGGAGCATGGGATCCTGCAGCCTGTTTTGAAGTGAGAAGAGGAGGACTTTTCTCCATGAACAACTGGATACATGCTGTGGGAATGCTCTACACATAATTGGCATCTGCCCAAATGTTGCCTGAAAGGTTCCTCACATCCTAGTCAGACACTATAGAAATATAAGACTCTAGCTGGCAACAAAGAAATTGCACCAGCAGGAAATGGAAATGCAAGACTGAGAAAACTGTGAAGGCTTTCTAATGCACTCACTTCAGTGACCAGTCTCGGCCCTTCTTTTCTGAGGTGACCTTGCCATGTTATCAGGAACTGGAGAATGTTTGTCGACTCTGACTCTGTGGCACTAAGCAGCTTGATTCAGCTATGCACCCAGAAGGCTATCTCTGAGCATGTGGCAGCATTTGCGATCTGCTGGAGTTTAAATGTTGACTGTCACCCAGAGGCCCATGTTCTAAAGCCTGGTGCCAAGCTGGTATCACGGGGAGCTGGTAGAACTGTAAGAAGGTGGGGTCCAGAGACAGTCATCAGCTTATTGAGGGTATACACTCAATGAAGAGTGGAGGATCCCAACAGTATCTGTCTGTCTGTCCTTCCCCACCCCACCCCTCACTCCTTCTCCCTCTGTCCTTCTGCTGTGAATGTGACAGTTTGCTCTGACACATGCTTCTTCACTGCCATCCACTGTCCTCCCTCATCAGAGGCCAAACCAACGAGGCCTGTCTTTTCTTAGATCTTGATTTAAACTATTTAAGCTATTAAATAAATATTTTTAATTTTTTATTTATTTTGGTACTGGGGATTGAACTCGGTACCTTGCACTTGCCAGGCAGGTACTTATGCAGTCAGTGGGCTTTATTCACTTCATTCAGGTTCCTGCTGAGTTTCCCATAGTTCTTTCTTTTCCACTCACTGTATAGCTGCAGATCTCTGGACACAAGGATGGGGGGAGCTGCAGCCACAGCCTCTAGGATTTTCCTCAAGGACTCTGCCTCAGACCTGTTTGACCAGATCTTTATTTGTACTTCCTTAGGTATCTAAAAATAAAAAAGAGTTAATGTAGAAATCCCGAGTGTTATCCTTTGAAAGAGCTACTAAGAAGATAATCCTGAGCTGGCATCTGGTAGCTTGGAATTGGGGGAGCCCTGCCTACTGCATCTGCAATGAGCTTCTCTGGCTGACATCCTTTCACAGGTTCTCCACAATTCCTTGCTGAGAAATTAAGCAAGTCCTATGTATCTCCACTGGGAGAGAATAATTAAAACCTTACTCTTGGTTTCCATTGGACTTTGTACTATTTGCCTTTTATATGTGTGAGTTTGCTTCATATGTTTTAGCTGTAATAAATCATAGGCCTAAGGCCACAGGCTGATTCCAGTCCTCCTAGTGCACAATTTAATCTAGGAGTGGTCTTAGAGATTCTGAATCAGAATATCAGGTAATGTACAGAACCCACTGGAGGAAGACTTGAACATAAACAATTTTTAGTTTTCCCCTCTTTCTCCTCCACTTCTTACCTCCTCTATTCTTTCTCTATTGTTTCTCCTCTCCTCATCCCACCCCTACTCTTTATTTTTATGCTACTGAAGATTGAACCCAAGGCCCTTGCGCTGAGCTGTATCTCCAGTCCTTTTCAATTAATTAATT